ACAGGCCACAAAGGCATACCACTGATTTGAGCAACGTTGTCTTTCCAAAGGCTTAGTTCGTCTATGCATTCGAGCGTTAAGGAAACGAGGGAATTCTAATTGGAGGCAGAATTAACAACAGCAAAGGAATTTCTGGTCATAAGCCTAGTTACACTCCCAACGCAGTTCCCAAGGGAGATAATCTTACCACACACACTGGCGAGCTTGTGAAACTAGTAAAGGGAGCCCTCAGACACCAGAAAATACAAAAAATCTTCCGTCAGGGATTGAATTCTCCTATTCAGAAGTGTTAATAACAGTTCCAAACCAAGTGATCACTTGAGTTGAATCCCAAATGGTTTTTTCTTATTTGGAATAAAATCGGACGTCAACAAATCAGAGTGAACAGGCAAACTGGAGATTTTAACTTTGATATAATCGGTAGCGGAACCCAGGCCATCATCTAAAAAGACAACTATCGTCTTCCCCTCTAATCTCCATTTCTTAACTAGTAGCTTTAGAATTCTGGTAAATAAATAGGGCGCGGAACTGATGCCAAAGGGCAAGACTTCGAAATGAAAATATCTAAACTGAACGGATGAAAAAGTCCAAGAAAAGGAGAGATATTGCCTATGTCCTGAAAAAATCTCAACGTGGTTATAGCCGGATTTCATATCAAAGGAAAACATGAAATCCCCAGTGTTCAGCACTTCCCTTGCAGTAGATACGTCTTTGCATCTGAATTTGGACTTAAAGAGACACTGGTTGACATGAAGAAGATCCAATGTCAAGCGTTTTTCCCCGGTTTCTGAATGGAAACTGATAATGGGTTGAATACTGCCGGAGGCGTGAATACCTCCGAAATACACTCCAAACTTAAAAGCTCACTAATAACACTCTCAGAAAAGGCGGATTCTTGAATTGCTGACTTATTGTTCTTCGGAACAGAAGGTGGAAGAATTTGAAGTAGTGGCAATTTATAACCAAAATCCAGTAGTGTCAATAACTAAGCGAGGCGCGTCAATGTCTTTCCAGAACTGAATTGATTTGCGCAATCTGCTTCTAACAGAAACAGCAACATCGTTCGATTTAAACTCATAAGACAACAATGAATCCACCAAAAAGGGGTTCAGAATCCAACGTTGGCAAAGCCTCCGACTCTAAATCTACAAGATGCAAAATGAACAACAGAAGAAAAATTAAATTAATTGTCACGAAATAATGTGGACAAAAACAAACAAAAAGACAAAAAATAAGAAAAGTGCAAGAAACTTTGATCAATCGAGCTGAACTAAAGCGAGAATAAACAGAACTGATTACACCATGATCTCGGGCATCCCTCCCGATTCGTCACTTGGTCTGTTGGCTCTGAAAAGCAGCAGCAAATGAAGTGTTCGGACAGGCAGCTCTTCAGCAGTGCCTAGGTTTGGCGCAAGAAAAACAGAGACCAGCAGATTTAATGACGGAATGCTGTTGGTTAACTCGAGTAAATGGGCTAGGAAGCTGAGCAACCGCAAGTTGCGAATTCCTTGAGATAGGCAGCCCTGAACGGCGACGCTGTGAACCAAACGAGCGTGTAGCAAAACGCTTCGAAGCTCTGGCAGCCCGATCCTCGGCTCTGTAGATTTTCATTTCATCCTCCTCGTCCTCCGCCATGTGGTGTTGTTTGTATTCTACGACGGTTCTCCATCCATACGGACACTTATCAGCTTGGAGTATTCATTTTTGTCTTTCTTTGAGTAAAGACATATCTCGATCTAGGGATTCTTTAACTTTCGGTAGATCTTTATATTACTCTTCGTTGCCTCTCTTCTTAAAGGATGGTGGAGTATCACGCTTCAGTCTCTTGATCCCCGACATCTGTTCTGCAGCATTGGAGTCGCCGGATCTTTTAAGTTCTGAAACGGAGGTTGAGACAAGATCCTTGATCTGGGAAAGTAGCTGTGCGTTGTTCTGAGCGGCAATGTCCCTTACCCTGCTCTCATCCGTCACCAGTGTTTTCAAAAACAAAGACGAAACCTAATACACAACTTAACGTGGCGAAGGCTGGCCGTAGAATGCCTCACCCTCCTAGCGGCCACACATTACAAACTACAATCCCAAAACCCTATCCGCCCTTAGCACTCGTCCCAAGCTCTCTGATTCGTGCCGGCAAAATAGTAATTTAGGAAAAAATAGGATTATCACAAATTACATAATTTATTAGGGCATAAATAGTAGGATAGGTAAGGTTCAGCTAAAATTCAAAGGCAATCTCCTTTTTTTCTGTTTGTAAATTCCTTTTTCTTAACCTCGCTTAGCGTGCCAGAGGTGTTTTTTTTTTTTACCTTATTGTGTTTCGAGAACGGACCTCTGGAGCCAGGGTACCTAAACCTAGTTTTAATTAGTTTACCGGGATTGCCTTATCGACAGAGTCTGTATCTCCTTTGCTTTAAGTAAGCAGATCCTCGAAACTCGAACGAATCCTGTTTCGAAACGTGTGAATCGACTTTCGAGTCTCGCGTTTCGAGTTTCGAGAAACCAGCATTTTTGAATATTCATCACGCGAAAGGATTTTGGGAAAACTATATATTTCTCGAGAAAAATAACATAACCATTCGCACGCACAGGGGTCTGCACTGACCGACAGCGTTCACATGTGCAGTTTAAGCAAAGTTAAATTAAAGTTTTTAGGCGATGAAAAAGGACCAACACAAGGTTTTTTTATCTTGAATTTTGGAAAATTGACTGTATTTTTGTATGAAGTCTATCTTTTGAACTATAAAAAATGTTTTTATTTTTGGTGCATAAAGTGTGAAGATACGTTTTTACATTCATCGCGCGTGAGGGCATGAAGAGATTGAAATTTGACCTGAAATAGTCGTATTTATTAATTGTTTATTTATTACAATTCATGGCATTCAATTTAAAATAAGTTAACTTAAACTTATTACATAAAGTCAAGGGATGAAATGCATAAGAGTCAATGACCCCATATTAAAGCAGATCACCACAAGTAATTAACTAATATTTAAATTAATGATAAGTAAATAATGACATAAAATTAAGAACACTAAAGAATTCTCTAATTCATAAAAAACTCTTTAGCTAGAACTTTAAAAGAATTCACACTTACTGCCCCACGAATGTATTCAGGTAGGGAGTTCCATGTGCTAACAATCCTGTGGAAGTAACTTAAGTTAAGAATATTTGTTCTTGCATATCTCATCTGAAGAGTTAACTCATCATTGCCTAAACGAAAAGCGATCAGTTTCCTTGTAAAAGTCTACATAACGTTCGATATCAATGTCAAATAGTCCATGAAGAACCTTATATAAAAGAGTAACATCTGTTAACAATCGCCTTTTTTCCAGTGATAACAAATTTAATTTCTTCAAGTGGCTATCGTAGCAGTCCTCTGTTTTTAAGATAAATTTAGTTACCCTCCTCTGTACTTTCTCTAACTTTTCAACGTTCTTTTTGGTGTAAGGAGACCATATCAGAGAGCAGTATTCTAAATGTGATCGTACAAGAGCACGGTAGAGAGTTCTCAGTGTTTTGCGATCATCAAAATCTCTGCATGTTCTTTTAATGAGACCCAACATCCTATTTGCTTTGGCCACTACCTTGTCAATGTGTAAGTTCCAACTTAAGTGCCGATCAGTAGTTATTCCTAAATTTCTGAATTCATTGACCTCCTCCAATACCGAGTTATCCAAAAAGAAATTTGAAGTGAAGGGCTGTTTCCTCTTCGTAATTCTCATAATTTTACATTTCTTTACATTAAAATCCATAAAATTGCGTGAACTCCATTGATGAAGGTTGTTGAGATCCTCCTGAAACAAATTTTGATCTGAAACAGAGTCAAAGATCCTTGAACTTTTACAATCAGCTGCGTATAGAGCGATGGTATTTCCAGGAAGTTCAGCCTCAAGGTCACTTATGAATATGACAAAGAGCAGCGGACCTAAAAGGGAGCCTTGTGGAACTCCTAAAGAAACTTCTGACCAAGATGAAGAGACTCCGTCCAGCACCACTCTTTGTTGCCGATGGTTTAGATAGCTTTCGCACCATTGTAAGAGAGAGCCAGAGATACCGAAACCATAGAGCTTCTGCAATAAAATTGGGTGATTAACCCTATCAAAAGCCTTAGAGAAGTCCAAAAAGGCCTCATCAAACACTTTGTAGAGATGGGTAGCAGAGAGATAGATGTGTAGTTTTCTACAAGTTCCTTATTATCACCCCTATGAACAGGAGAGATATTGGCAAATTTCCATAAAGTGGGCTTTATACCACACTTCAAGGATGAATTGAATAGATGAGCCAAAGGTACTGATATTTCTTTTGCGCAAGTTTTGAGAATTCTGGCAGGTAGATTATCCGCACCAGGATATTTACTTATGTCGAGATTGCTCAAGATTTCTTGCACCTGTGAGGCTGTAGTTGTGACATTCAAAAGCAAGTTAGGATTTGCAACATCTGGAGATGACAGATTCTGATCTAACGAAGATTTGGAATAAATAGATTGGAAAAACCTGTCAAAAAGTTCCACTTTGGAAGTTAAATCAGTTGAGTGTATATTACCATAGATGACAGTCTCTGGAATTCTCTTAACTTTTGACTTTATGGATTAGAAAGACTACAAATGTTTAGGGTTATCTTGAAGCTTCTCAGACAGCGATTGTAGGTATTTAGAGTAACTGCGTCGTCGTGAATCTCTTTAAAAAACTGTAATGTTTTTGCGAGCCTTTCATAAATCACCACTAAACGTACAACAAAAAATAGAAAGGAATAAGTTATATAAGAAGTCTCCGACTGTACCGTCCGTAGCAAGATAGAAAACGGTGAACTTCTATTGTTGTTGATCTGTGTAGATGCAAGTAAAATTTGCATATGTCACGTGTAGTTTGAAACCTCTTGCTTTTATCACACATCGCAACTTTAGAAACATACATAAGCGACCTATAAACAGTCCTAATTAATTCTCATTGGCACATCGCAGCAACTAGCTAAAGTATCTCTTAACAGCCTTCGTGTTGGTAATGCAACTATCACTCCTGTGTCGTCTACAAGGAACTTGGGCTCGTGGTTTGATTCCAAGCTGACGATGGCAATCCATATATCAAAAACATGTAACTCTGCCTTCTATTATTTGTATAATCTGAGACGCATAAGAAAATATCTCTCTAAAGACAACACCAGGACTCTGATTCATGCCTTTATTTCAAGCAGAGTCGATTACTGTAACAGTCTTTTATATGGCCTGCCGGAGTATCAACTCAATAAGCTACAGCGTGTGCAGAACATGTGTGCTAGATTAATATGCAATGAAAGTAAATATTGCCACATTACTCCTTTATTAGTAGCGGGGCTCCCGCGCGCGCGAAGCACGCGTGGGACAGAGCCCCATACTCATGGAATATGGTCAACCTCTTTTCGCTTGGTTGTCACGTGACTGACCGAGCGTACGTACGTACGTACGTACGCGTCTACAGATTGTACGGGTAGGGTAGGGGAGACTATCAAAAGGAAGGGAGGGGTGTCTCAGGCGTGTGTTTGCAAGTCCTCATCTTTTTTATATGACATTCACAATATAGTCAATTGACAGCTGTCAAAACAGGATAGCCACTGACCAGTATCCCATGACCATAACGCGGGCTCATTTGTCAACTCATCGAGGTGACGTAATTTATTTGGAAGCTGTCCGCTGACCAGTTAATCGTTTTACTAGATCGCAAACAATATTCAATCTCATACTTTTTAGCATGGATATTATTATTAATATTTAGCTAGTTTGGGATCGGAGCACAGGAAATGTGATCAATTGACAGCTGTCAAAACAAGGTATCCGCTGACCAGTATCACTTGAGCGAATCGCGGGCTCAGGTGTCGACCCATCGAGGTCGAGTATTTTTTTGAAGTTATCCGCTGACAAGGTACTTGTTTTCAAATGATTGCAGGCTCAAGTTTAATTTTTTTTTTAAATTCATATGAAATATGTTGTGTTTATGTGCCGCACAATTAAAATTTTGATTTCAAACTGACCTCGGACGCGAAAATTCAGCCAGCTGCTACAGGCAGGGAAGACAGTTGCTTTTGACTTTTCTCGCCATGTTCACGCGTTGGTCACGCTCTACGTCCAATTTTTATGCTCTGATTGGTCAAAATTTGACAGGTGAGTTCATGCGCAAAATTTATGCAGCATCTTGAATCTTGTTTACTTTGACAGCTGAAGCTGACAGAGTTTTGTGTCAACTTGTGATGTTTTTAACTTTCTTTTTCCACTGGATGTACAAAATGAAATTCAGATTCTATCAGGAGTCTTCTGTTATTCATGGCTAGTTTGTTTATTGGGTTTTTGGTTGAGTCAAAGTCGGAAATCCGATTTCGGATGGCATCGTTTTCGTTTTCACCTTGCTTAATGCGTAAGAGGGTTGCAAAGTCTGAAGCGATACTGGCCTTCCTTGATACCTTTCAGGAGCTGCATCTCGAGTGGTAAGCCTAAGTAATTATTGTATTTGATGTTTGTTTTTTATTCCTAATTTAATGAAGTCGAGCGTAGTTTATGCGGCTATTTTGTTTACGCACGTTTGTAAGATTTGAGACAATGATCTGACCGCGTATCAGGTTTGTTATAAGCTTACAGATCTTTAAAAAGCCTTTAGACATTTTCTCACCGCAAATAGAAAGAAAACGTTTCAAGGAATATTTAGTTATAATTCTGACTGTAAAAGAAAGGTTTGAGCGATTTCCTTGCCTCGAGTTCGTCTTTGAAAAAAGCAAACACCGGGAAGCCGGCTTAAAACACAAAATTCAGCTTTAAGCTCGAAGACTCAGGATTTTTAGAGACACTTTAATACTTGTCTTCCTGAATGAAAATTGTCGTCTCTGTATATGTTTCTCCGAATTATATTTCTTTTATTAATTGTTAGTACTGTCTCTTGTAATTTTAATCGCTGTGTCGATTGTTTTCAGTCGTTCAGTGAACAACGCTTCCCGGAGTACTCAAAATGCCGCGCGTTAAACCGTTTTAAAATAAAAAATAAACATAATAAATTCTTTATTATGTTGGAGCGTAACTCTGTTAATGTTCATTCAAACACTCGCCACTGCTAGCACTGCAAAAGTCAGAACCGGCTGGCCGTATAGATGATTTTGAAAATTTTTTTTAACGGTTTAGCTAAAGCCCACGCGTGCTGCGATCGTCCTGAATATTGAATGATAGCAATTTGTATCGCAATATTGTGAAATACTGCATTCTGTTGTGCGAGGTCTGTATGATAAAAACAGTGCCTCATAGTACTGTTTCACCTCAGATGTGATGTATAAATGATATAAAAGTTTGGTTTACAGTCGCACCCAGATTTGTTGGCAAGATTTTGTAAAGTAAACTTGTCGAACGCAAAAAATTCGGCCGGAATTTTTTTTCCAGGCCTAATTAATCTAAGGAGATCATGAGCCATTATGGCTCTTAATAAATGTGATCGAAGATGATTGCCAGTTTTTGGGTGTACTTATGAGGCTATCAACTCGATGTGAGATTTGGTTCACTCTTGGGCTGCTTGCAAATTATTTTTTGTAAAATCACTTAGCCTTTCCATGAAAAGTCACACGAATGTGCTCTAAAGTTAACTGAATTGGGGAATACAAGTTTATTGTTTGATTTAAATTATAAATTTATTAATGGGAGCCTCGCTTTTAGCCCTGGCTAAATCTATATATTAGATTTACATTGGCTGCCTGTAAAGTTCAGAATTGAATTTAAAATCCTGTTGATTGTTTTTAAGTTTTTTAAGGGCTTAGCACCTTCATACTTAAGATTTTTAATTACTCCTAAGCCTGTATCTAAATATAATTTAAGAAGTTCTAGCGACAGTACCCTACTTAGTTATCCGAATGTTAAGCCCAAGGCAACTCTCGGTGAACGGGCCTTTCTGTTTGCTGCACCTAAGCTATGGAATGCTGTGCCAAGATTTATTAGGGAATCCATTTCAGTTGACACTTTTAAGAGAAAGTTGAAGACTCACCTTTTTAAAAAAGCATTTTGTACCACTTAGATTATAAGATTGTATTTTTAGCTTACTAGACTATAAATAATTTTCAGCTGATAATTTTTAAGATTTTGCTAACAGATTTTATCTTTTTAACTTTTAGCCATTAGTTTTTCTGTTCTATATCTATATTATCATCTTATTTTATCATTTTTATTATCATAATTATTCACAATTTTATTATTAGTAGTATTATTGTTTTGTTTTGTTTTTGTTTTTGTTTTTGTTTTTGTTTTTTTTTTCCCTATGGCGCATTTGAATATATTTATATAGATATTTGCGCCTTATAAGTTTTTGAAATTAATTAATTAAATCCTAGAGGCAAAATGTGGGGAAAAATCATGATTTTGATACCGAAAGTTTTTCTAAGACCATTAAACTCATTCAAGATCATTTTCAGACAAGAAACTTCAACCTCACTGCAGCGGAAGCCCTGGGAGGGGAAGTCACAGAAGCGATTTTCAAGACAAGTGTTTGTTTGTTTATTTTTATCAGCCAAAATTCTTTGCCTATGGCCAAAAGCACCGAACGAGCAGGGAATTTGTTGTTCGTTTATTAGAAGTTGGCATAGAGGATCACAAGTTTTAGGTGCCCGTGCGGGCTCCTTGTTTAAAATTTTAGTCGCTTGCGAGCAAATCTTAGGCCCCTCTGGCGACCAGGCGCCCGTTAGGCAGCAGCCTTGACTTAAGTTCTAAGAGTTGTAGACAACAAGTAGTCCCCCATTTTTCCTCAGGGGTAGTAGAGCGAGCGAAACGCGTGTCGCCTTTTCCCGCGTAGGGTGATTTTCACGTGCTCGCGTGTCGCTCGCTCTACTATCCCTGAGGAAAAATGGGGGACTACTCGTAGTCTATAAGAGTTGTAACAGAATCAATACATAGTCAAGAGAAATGGTTATGAGAGTTAATAAGATTATCACCTATGGGAAAAATGCTTCGATTTTATATCAAATTCTCTTAACTAATTCTGTAAGGAAATGTACAAATCAATTGGAGAATATGAGTGTGGATATTGGGGCTTATTTCATGAATCACACATTTTCTTTTGTTATTCAACATCCTTTATTTAACTTACATACTTCATGAATATTTAACTAAGTGAAAGTCCGGGGAGGGCTTGATAATGTAGCAGGGAAGAGCGGGGCTGATGAATTGAATAAATTGCTAATTATAAATGCAAGGACAATATCTTTATAAATACCCGGGATTTATTTGTATATTGCCCTGCTGCCCTGGGCAATATACAAATAAATCCCTTCCATTTATAATGAGCAATTAAAGTAAATCATACACGTCCTTTGACACCGCCAAACATTCTGAGAAAATTTCTCCCTTTAACAAAAATATAGAAATTTATTCTGCAACTATAGAAAATACAGTAGTATCCCATATATCATACAGGCTATGTGTTCACTCTAAGAAAATTTTAAGTCTGATATCTCGGTGGCCCGTACGCTCCATAATCAACTTATCTGAGATTCCTTTTTCCAGT